TGGGTTTAGCAGGAATACCGCTGCAGATCAGTAAGTTTTTCTGTTGAACTACATTCTTTTATCTGGAGAGATTTCCGTTTTTCAGCGTCATTTCCTTAAAATTCGAACCACAAAAGCCAGTATTTCTTTTGGATGGAATCTATAATGTTTCACTTATCTTTTTAGTTACTTTTTTGTAGACCCCCTCGCATTCATTGTAATCACTTTGCCATGTGCATTCAAAAGTTTCTGCTTAAGCCGATTGCAGTCGATTTTTAATTCTTTTTAGGGATGATGGGTGGTGGTGGTGGTGTTGTGCCACCAGTTCTGCTTGATGAAGCTCGTGTACCACGATTTTATCGCGACGCCATAGCTGCATGTGGTGCCACGCAACAAAATATGCTTCCCCATACCGCTCTAGGTACGGCTTTTCCTTCAATCTGTGCATTTTAGAAGCAATTACTTCAAAAGTAACTGAGCTGCTCTCCATACAATTGTTCCCTTTTTTATTGCTCTTTGCTCTGAAGTACTATTCAGTATACAACTTGATGGTGACGTCTGGCTTGCCAAGGCCTGTGCTTTCTTACATCTGGTCGGCTGTGAATCGTACACTCCCAGGCCAATTAACTCGTCCAGAGTTCTTCTCCTGTTTGGCTCTCATTGCTCTTGCACAGGTTTGAACTCTCATCATTACTTTTACATTCTAAAACTTTTAACGTTATTTTCGAAATTCTCTGTTGTAGAAAGGCGAATCGCTAGCAGCTTTATCAACAATGTCTTCACTTCCTATTCCTTTCCTTCAGTCAGTGCAGGTGCCTGTTGCACCATCCCTCGCTGCCCCTGTAGTTAATGTCGCTAAACCTACGTGAGTCTGGGACTTTTCGACTTTGCGGAATCTATACGCTCTTTCAAAGTTATTAATACTTTGTCAGAGCTCCGCCACCCAAGGAACAGCGGCAGACTTCTTCATTTATACCGACCTCTCTACTAATGGGTAAGCGGAATAACGCGAAGAAAAAAGATATGGATTTGATAGGAGAAGCATTACCTCCTACTATCAAATCACCAGGTAAAGATGAAGCAGGATCGGTCCTACCATCAATATCTGGTGAGTTAGGTGATGTACTTGAACGTACATCTGTGGCGTAGCTAGGTAAGATCATATAGGTACTAGGTATTGCAGGCCCGGCCAAGTCAGGCCATCAAGCTCAGATCACTCCAAACACAACCAGAAACGCGCTTGATAGCAAGTCAAACTCAGCCATGAATGATTTATGCGGTATCGATTGGCCGTCGTTGACTTCTACACAAGTTGCCACAGCTTCGCGTGACTTGAGCTCTCCGACAACCGAATCATCGAAGAGCGACGAAGATGGTAGGGTTTTGTTGTAGTTCTTTGTTAGCTAGTGAGACTGGATTTCCTCGTTTTGTCTCTTCAGTGTCAACAGCCA